GCTCAAATTCAAAGCGCAATTTTCATTATGATTTGTGTGTTTTTCTGCATTTAACGAAAACAAACGTCTCAATTAATAGGTTTGAAGTTTTTTGACTCATTCAGTTATCTTTGACAAAATGCATGCTTTTTGTACAGAATTTGCAGATCAAAATGGTAATTCAATATAGGACACCTACATAAGTCTTGACAATAACAAAACAATTTTTTGATCTTTCACTTTGTAGACCCAGTTTTTTCGATATTGGGTGGCAAAAATAAGATAGATAGGTGGCAAAAAGATAGGTGGCATAAATTTTATAGATAGGTGGCAAAAAACAGATTAATAGATTAGATTACAAATATTCTGAAAATCTCTGTAACGGGTTTTTGGCTTGGGGATTATATTTCCGAACTTAAAAATAGAAATCGAAATAGGAGAGTTAGAAATAAGAGAAATAGTTAGAATGGTTTTTCCATAGTGGTATCTTTTTGGATGAAAAATAGTAATTTTATTGAAAGAGTTGCTTCTCTTTGATTGTTTACAACTGTTGCTGATTTATCAGGTACTTTTAGAGATTTCGAAAATACAAAAATAAAATTCTAATCGGAATTAAACAGAACCAAAGCACAAATTTCAATTAGATATATTTTTTAAATTTTTTTTGCTTGTCATAGAAAGTTTCTGCGCAGAACGATTAAAAAATCCACATAAAAACTAGGTTCTAAAACGATCTATGCATGCGTCTAATAAAATAGTCAGTGAAATTGTGTTTGTATTTTTTTTCATTATTTTTTTAAGATCCGGTTGAAGCTATTAGGTACAATTATGGCCATTGGGACCAAAATTAACCAAGGTTTTATTCTAAATGAATTGTTTCATAAAACTTTTCCGTAGAATTATTGAAAGCGTTATTCAATTCTGTAATATTTTCCCCTGTTTTATTTTCCAACTTACATTTTTTTTCAACCTGACATTTTATGATGGTTTTTGGTGTTGCCAATCAGTAAGGACATGCTAACTGTTGTCATGCAAAAAGCCGATGTAGCAAGAAATAGCTTGAAGCAAAAATTTACCACTGCGTAAATAGTAATCAGACCCTCATCAACTTGTAATGGCTTGGACCAAACACTGGCCAGCAGATAAAGATAGTAGCCGTAAATTTCATTACTTAATCAAGTTGTGGAATATTGCTACACCGGTTTATAGTACTAGCGCCGTTCCACGTTTAAAGTTGAAGACGGTTTTGATTTAAACCAAAAAGAAAACAAGAGTAGCTGGTTGCTCTGCAAGCAGCAAAGAATGCCCGATCATATTCATTTAAAACATATAAAAAAAAACAGTTTCTGTCGTTTCTTCAAAAAATGGTCGTTCTTATTGCGTGGTGTGATTTGAGAACTATATGATTGCGTAGAAAATCTGCTCCTTAGGCATGATCGTCAAAATTTGTATTCAAAAAATGAATAACAAATTATACAAAAGAGAAAATTCAAAATTGATTTTCTAAATTTTTGCACAACATTTCAAATTTTTCTAATAAACTTTTCTTTAACAATTAAGCGCTAAACGATACATCAGAAACGGCGAACTAGTTTTTTAATAATAAAGTCGGATCAATTTAGCATCCTCCCCCCAAATAGACCAAGTTAAGATCCTCCACCCCAGCGTTCATTTTAATTTAAATCTACTTAGCGCTGCATGTAAATTGCTCCATTCTGATTGGCTGAAAATTCGAACTCAGAACCAAGTTAACATCCTCCCCCCTGAATGGATTTGGGGGGAGGATGTTAACTTGGTCCATAAAATCATCTATTTCCCAGCCTAAAAGGTTTTAAATTACTAGCGTCACTCGATCAGGTTACTCGCTCGAAACTAGACGAAAAATCAAAAGTTTCAAACCGGTTTTTCTGGATTTTGGAATGTTTTTGAAAACTTTTAAGGTCATTCGAATCACGACTGAAGGGGCTTTAATAAGATACATTACTCACCCCAGTTCGATGGTTATAATAAGGTTTATAACACACCCGAATACAAAATACCTCCCCATTTCCATTAGTCGGAATAATACAATAGTTGTACAAACTATCGGCTCACATGCAAATCACCCGCAAGGCGCGACGGTTTAAGTAGGCCAAATCATTCTCAGGAAAATAAGGTGTCCACATTAAGAAAAAAATTTTGGAAACTGCACTTTTCTGCAGAAAATGAAGCGTATGAACACATTCGCAGCACACATTTTGGCTCACATTTTGGCTGTTATTTACCTCTTCATTCTTTTTTAGTCAAATTTTTTGCCTAACGCTAAGAGATAATTTTTATTTGATAAGTTTTATTTGTACAAGATAAGATAGCGTTTCTCTATGATGATTTGGTAGAGCTGAAAAATACATGAGAGCCGACATAAGCAAAAGTCGATAATAAATGCAGTTTTTGAATTTTAATTGACCTCCGAACTTATATCCATATTATGCCGAACTTTTTTGAACTTAAATCGACCTCAAGAAATATGTAAAGACTTTTTGCTTATGCCGGCTCTCATGTATTTTTCAGCTCTACCAAATCATCATAAAGAAGCACTATTTTATCTTGTACAAATAAAATTTGGAAAAATTAGCTCTTGAAGTCGATTTAAGTTCAAAAAAGGTCGGCATAAATTAGATATAAGTTCGGAGGTCGATTAAAATTCAAAAACTGCATTTATTAAGATTGATGAAAAGTGTATGTCTATCATGCACTTAGCACATATGAAACATGATTCCTTGATGTGGTGAACTAATTTTAGATTTTTAATTAATGAGGGCGGGAATTTTCGTTACAAGGCTGGATGATCATATATATTCAACAGTTTGGATTTTTTTAATGAGTGTGAATATTCGTTGCGTGGTACCATATAGTCTGCCGTGCCATTAGCGGGAACTAGTTCGCTAAATCCCTGATGTCGTATGCCAAAATTTTTCATCTCTATCGGGCTTTCTTACTTCTGTTTGCACTTGATAACTCGGCCAGTGAAAGGATGCATCAGGGATGGGGTTTTTGCTAGTGGGTTAATAAACACCGAAGACCGGTCGCAGGAAATTAGGACTGGTGCGCAAACAGAAACATCCCCTGGGATTAGTGGAAATACGCGTTGAATGGCGCCATAAATTGCAATAAAGACGATTTTATTGTTATTGACTTCGTGCAATGATTTAATTTGTTTACTGTGATGCAAAAGGCAGGCTGAATGTTCCAATCGACCCTTTTTTTACTCTAATTGAAATGAGATTTAGGAAATGGAAAAAAATCAGTACGCCAAAAAATGTCATGCGGTTAAAGTTTAATGCTGTTTGTAATCCAGATTTCCAGCGCCACTGGAAATTTCACAGCATATTGTAGCCAATTTGAAAATAGTGGCAAATTCCAAAAGATTGCCTGTTTTCAACTGTACTTACCAGTTATAAACTCAGTTAAAGCTATCAGATGAATTATCTATTTAGTTATAATTCAGCAGCAGCAGGTTTGATTTATCTTTTTTATAAAACCCTCTTTTTCTTCATACGGCGACATGAAACGTTTTTTTTTTCGCGATGAGGGTATATTTTAGAAATCAATTTGTTTGTCTGTTTTCGGAAGCCCCCAGACGGGAAAGTAAACCTCAGAAAATTGAATTATTGATTCTTCTTGATCCATTTTGACCGGTAGTGTATGTTGCATTAAAAGCAAATTCATTCCAGCGCCCTATTCCGTCTGAAGTGATAATCCCGAATAACCCCACAATCCCAAGTGAGTTTCCACACCCAGTATCTATTCTATTAATCTATCGACTGTAGTTCTAATTTAATTATTCAAAATTTTCTGTCCTTTTGATCCAACTTGCGAAGAAAGTGGCCTAATATTTAGGCTCGGTGAGATTTTTTTCTTCGAACAATTTCGGCGTGATTACTCTCCCAAACTAAACTGTTATTTCGCATTTAAATTTGTTCGACTTTCATTAGATGTCTGTGCAACCAAACCACTTTGTTTTTTTTTGTTTTCCCTCATCCTGCCGAGATAACATACCCATCCCCTTTACCCCAACTCCTGCAAGGCATTATAATTGAATTCACAGTTTTGGCCTTGCATTACACAGGATTTTACTCCTTTGAAATTTAATCCCTCTTTTGAAAATTCACTTCCGCATTTTTGTGCTGTTGTTTTTAAGTTTTCAGCCGTTTCCTGAATCGGACATCGTTTTGGTGCTGTCGAAGTGTCAAGATGTCTTAGGTTACTTTATTTTGTTCTTTTCCACTCTCGTTTGGTGGTTTTTTTTAAACTGTTTTTGAAAATATTTGGTTGAAAATTCTATTAATTTGCAGGGTGTTCTTTAAAGATTAGCACAGCTTACCTTTATAATCGTGTTCCTTATTTGGTGCAAAGGTCGATAGTGGTCAATAACACAACACGACAGGCAAATAGGGCTATTTGCGCCTTCCTTTTCCAAATCTCAAACGACCTCCTTGCACAAATCTGCTCTCTAAATCTCCTAAGTAAGTCCAACTCTAATTAAACTACCTTTCTCTCTTTTTTAATTAGTAGTTAGCTAAAATTTAACCGAGGTGAATTGTTAAAAGTTTCATTAACTTGATTACTGTTGAGGAATTAGGACACAAAATCAGACCTCTAAACGGACCGGATGCACTGGACTACCTCTTTATGCTGTGTTTACACAATTTTTATTCCGCAATTGAAAACCACAACTTTTGCACATTGTTTTGAACTGTTTCATCCAAAAGAGTTTGGTTTTAGGCCATTGAAAACTTACCTCAGACTAGCAATATAGCTTGTTTTAACCTGCTGATACCACTAAAACTTTTGAAGAGAGATATTTGAAGTTGATGTCGTAAGCTTTGTTTTTAGATCACCATCTCCTGTGCGGTAGTCAAAAGTTCGGAGAAGATGAAGAATAGAGTTTCGAAGCACATACTGCTGAAACATAAGTGCTTTTGGGAGTAGGAACAATTTTCGGGGTTCAAATTTTCGTTTTCTTAATTTCTTAGTTACCTCGAATTAAAATAAGATGGATGCACCGGAGGGCAAAACTAAATTGATAATTAGGACATTCAAGAAAGCTTTAAAAAATGTTGCTAAGTTTTTTACTTTTCCAGTCATCAAATTGCATTATTTAATGGCATAACTGGTCAGCTGGGAATTTTCGAATTTTTTGAACTACGTTAAATTTGAAGTTTGTACCGATGTAAATTGAAACAAGTGTTTCTGCATTTTATGCACACTTATAGTTTAAGTTGTTGTTCTCACTTTCGAAGAAAAGGAGGAATGTATATTCTCGCGGTGGTTTTTTAATTCAGACGAAGTTTGAAGAAATTTGTTTTTTGAGTGTTTTGGGATATCAATCCCTGGATTTTCATGGGTTCATTCGAGATGTCAAACCACTACATTACCATCACAAGACGCGGGTTAAACTGCTCGTTTAATAGTTTGATGCTACAAACTGTTCCGCACTACAAATTGTTCCAAATTGAACTGAGGCAAGCTGAATTGAACTTAACACCCAAAACTTGATATTATCAGCCTAACTAAATTTTCGTCAATATTTCATTAACCAAAAGGTTTTTGAAACCAGTTAATGGGCTGTCGTAACATTCAGGGCTTTGCAGTCTTGTTGTTCCGGCATTTGACGACAGTGAGCGAATAGTTTTGCTCGGGTTTTTTTTCTCCAGACCAATTTCGAATTCTTAACTAGCATTTTTTGAGAAATATTGTTATCTTGAGCTCAATTTTTAAAAAATGTTTTTAGCTGTCATCATTTTTTTCTAAAATTATAGTGGCCCAAAGATTGTCAATTTGGTACAATTAACGCGCCATATATATTAGAAATCGTTTCGAATTGGATTGAGGCTGGCTCTTTGGTCGATTTAATACTTTGCTATAAGCAAAAAATTTCACTTTGTACTTTACATAGCGTGTGGAGTCATGATTTTTAAAGTTTTTTTAAAGAAAACTTCTTCAATTATTTTATTGTTTTGTTAGTCCGACTTTCGCAACGAAAGTAACGGAATCTTTGTGCTCGGGTGATTTTTTTCCAGACAAGTTTCGACTTTTTAACTAGCAATTTTTGATGGAGTTTTTTATATCATTGGAAGCTTTTGTTCTCCTGAGCTTATATTTAAAGAGATATTTAACCTGTGATCATTTTTTGTTGAAGTTATGGGGTTTAAAGTTGCCATTTTGGCAAATTTGAGACAATTCACGCCCATGGGGAGATTTGAATTGTCTTAAAAATGGTCCAAATTGATTGAGGGAATCTTATTCGCCATAATTGGACTGTGTTTCGTTACCCCAACTGCAAATTTTAACAGGCAAGTTTGTCGACCACATTGTCTAATCGTTATGAAAATTGATATGCAGACCAATAAAGCCACGAAAAACATATTTGGTCTTCATAATCAACCTCGTAAAAACACTCGTTACACTAAAAAATTGAAACTCATGTGAAGTGGACAAAAAAGGTGAGAGCCCATAATTTTTTCGTTATTAGGAGCAAACTCTATCACTTTGTACTTCATATGGCGTGTGGGGGATGATTGATTTTCACAAAAAATTTCATCCTAAAAAAATACTTATAACTCAAATAAGTGTCTGGTCATCTTTGGGTGTCCTATTAACCGCATTTTTCTTTGAGAACACACAGAACTTCCCAGCAGACAACTTGCACATAAACAATAACAAGTAGTGATCTTTTCATAATATTAGGCTGTGTTTGGTTTCGTACGCTGAGCGTTGGGTTCACCCACAGACATGATTTGTTAACTGTTATGAATTTTTTGTTGGGTTCCATTTCCTGCAGAGGCTAAAGAAGTGCAAAAAGTATTGAACCAGCTCCTGTCGCTGAGCTTCCACAAACTACCAATACAGCCGAGCACCAGCGGATATAGGGGGTGGGACACACCCCTGCCCCCTCAAGAATTCGACCCCCTGCTTTGTACTAATTTGAGATATCCATTCTTAGCTGACTTAACCTAAAATGTCTGTAAAAGCACGATGGGCGCCAAAATAAACTAATTTTGATTTTTGAGGGGGGATTGCGCGCCGAAAAAACGCAATTTTTTGGTCAAAATTTTCCAAAAAAATGCCTGATTGCCTTTTTTGGCCTATTTTTTATAGCCGATTTCAATTTTTTATAATATAAGATACATCAGTGACAATTTTTGTGAAACAAAAATATATTGCGTTGTTACTTTTTGAGCACTCTGGTTTAGAATACACATTAGTACGTCAAGTTTTTTGCCCTCTCAATCAGTTTTCTTCGTCTTGTCAGGTTTTCTTTTTTAATTTTCATGGTGGGTTGAAAGGCTCAAAGTGAACGCTCAGAATTAAGGTTTGTTCAATGTTAGTAATCAGTTATGTATTTATACAGCAGTTTTCGAAAAAGAATAGAAAAATCAAAGTAAATCCAATAAGTTTTTGTCGGAAATCTGATAAAAATAATCATTTTTTGCTGCAAATTGGACTAAGTATCCAAAACCTCAAACTTGTTTTTAACGAAATTCAGAAAAAAAAATTTGAAGTCGCTCGAATCACGACGGAAAACGCTTCAATATGATAGATCGCTCGCCATCTTTCGATGCATTCTTGTAATACTTAATTTTGTGTAGGCGAAAATAATATATAAAAAGTTAAAACACACTCATCCTGTCGTTTTTAAATTCCATTTCATTTAATCTGAAAACCCGAATACTCAAAGCAATTTTTTCTCAGTACGCAGGAAACGTTTTTTAGTTATCCAAAACTCTAAATCAAGATAACAAATACAGCTTTAATATGATACCACATTCGACCCCATACAATCTTCCCTTGCTTAAGTCTAATTTGATTGGAAAAAATTGAAAACGGACGGACAGTACGCCATATTTTTCCCATTTTTCAAGGATGGTCCGAACACAAACAATATCGAAAAAAAAAGAATTTTTACTGGGTGAAATGAAAATTGAAATTAAAAAAAAAATAGCTATCTGACAGTAGCGGATTTAGGGGGGAGGGGATCAGAGGTGATACTCAAAAATTCTCGAAAATCCAAACTTCCCTAAAAAAAAATTTCTACATCTGCTCCTGCCCAATATTTTTAACAAACAAATTATGGCCACTCATTTAATAATCGTCAAGAGCTCAAAAAATCACGAAAGCGGAAATTATGAAAAATATTTTTTTACCCTAGAACTTATTGAAATTAGCTTGATTAAAAAATTAACGTGAAGTTTTTTGCAAGCAGAGCGAGCTTGCAAAAAGTTTTTGCTAATTTTTTAATCAGGCAATTTTCAAAAAACTTTCGAGTAAAAAAACAATTTTTCATTATTCCTTGATTTTTTTGTAGCTCTTGACTCCTGCTAACATCAAATAACTCTGTCTGTAATTTCTTTTGGCTAGTTCATTTGTACGCAATAGTTCTTTTGTATCCAAAAACGAGGTTAGATCAACACTTTTTGTTATAATTGCAAAATGTTAATTCGATATCGAAATATTTGGTTCAAAAATATTTGCACGTATTTTTCTTTTTTTTCCTTGAGCGCAAATACAAAGATTGTTCTTAAAACGTTGATGGTAGCCCATTTTTGGGCACGGAGTACTTTTGATAATGACGAGTGGATTTTGGTAAATTCTGCTGACCCTTTTCAAAGAAACTGTTACCGCCATAAAAACAAATCAGCATTATGAGACAATTACGTACGTGCGGTTCCTTTTAATTTTGGTTTTTTAATTATAATTTTAAGAAATTGTGGACCGTGGGAGGGGTCTGAATTGAAACGGCACTTAACGATTGCTTTGATTAATGAACGGTAATTATTATTCTAATTTTTTTAATTAATAGACTTAAAAAAATTAAAATTGGCTTTTTTGAATTTTTTGAAAGGCTTAGCTAAACAGGCGGTCTTTCGTTTAAGCAAAATTCAATACCTCTTTTTCATTCTTTTTTCTTACAATCGCCGTTTTCAGTCATTAACTGTAATGGTAATATAAGCAGGTAGTCTCTGTCACGCCAACGTCAAGAGTTTTTCAAATTTTATTTGTTTAGTTTGCTAATTTGCTCTCGGGAATTCCAGTTTTCAGCCTGCTCTCTCATTTGGCTAGCTTAACTTCATTTTCCTGTTTTCTAGTGGAGCTGCATTTTAATTCTTTTCCTTCCTTTTAGACGAGATAATACCAATTTATCCATAAAATTCAAAAGTCCAATTTGTAGTTTTTTTCATCCAAATTGACCACTTACTACTCAAAGACTGCATTCTTCCTATTTCAGATCGCTCTAATTGAATTTTCAAAAAAAATTCTGATTAGAAACAACATTTTTATTGAAAAAAAAGTCGAATCCTTCCGTTTTTTGATAATTATTATGTTAAGCGACCCCGTAAAAAATACTTCATTAAATAAAACTATAGAGGTTCAAAAATACATTCATCAACAAACTTATTTATGAGATATTCATCTTCTTTGAAGTCGCTTAGAAAGGTTATATTTTATCAACTGATTCATTTGTGATCCAAAAAGATATTATTTATTACCTCTAAAAAATGCATTGAGTGTTGAGCTTCTGCTGAAAAAAAAACTCATTTCATGTTGGATATTTAACAAACTTCAAACTGTAAGCGATCACAAATCCTCCATTTCCGCCTTATGCTAAATTTTCCCCTTTTAGACTAACAGAAGCAAATTTAGTTTTGTTTACTATAACCTTTTTCATCCTTTTTTTTCTGCATCCTAAGTACCATCTTTTTGTCTTTTGCGTGCATCGCCCATTTCACATACTCTAAATTAGATTTATTCCCATGCAGGGGCTGATCTAGGATTTTCTCGAGGGGGGTTAGATTTTTGTCGACGTTTTCTGTCGAAAATTTAGGTGTCGACCTTTTTTATTAGGTCGAGCAAATTGATTTTGCGAGCGCTTCAAGAAAACTATCAAGACCTCATTTCGACAAAATTTTCAACGCCGCAGGCAAATTTGTGAAAAAAAACAGGTCAAAATGCCGTTTTGGGGAGCTTTTAGAAAAATTTTGGCCAATTTTTTTTTTTTTAAATTTTCAAGATTACCAGATCGGCCTGTTTTCTATTTCAAATAACTACACTATTGACTTCCTCTATTTTTTGACTTTTTTGAATTTTACCGAAATTTTATTGCAAAGTTCTTCTATTCAATTTCTAAATTATTTTGAAAACAGTTACAGGCACATTTACCGGCCGAAAACAAACAACCCCCCACCCTAAATCCACCCTTTTTCCCTTTTCTCAGGTCTATCTTGTGCCTGTTTTCTATTTCAAACATCTACAATATTGACTTCCTCTATTTTTTGTTTTTCAATTCTTGAATTTTACCGAAATTTTTTTGCAAATTTCTTCTATACAATTTCTAAATTATTTTGAAAACAGTTACAGGTACTTTTCGTATTTTTCTAGAAATAACGTGCTCTGATCCTATTCCATGAATTAAAATTGAATCAAAAAAGTTGGTATTTCATTGTAATCACATAAGCCATAAAGACAGGCAATTTTTGTTAGTTTATTTAAATCATCTTCATACATTATACGTATATTTTTATGCTTTTGTACAAATACAAATAGAAACATGTGTGCACCATGGCAACTGTGTGGTAACTCATAATTTTACATTTTTGGCAGCAGAACCCTAAGCAGAAATGAAGAAATTTTTCTAGACTCTGCAGCAGGGCGTTCGTTCTTTGTTTTCTTTGATTCACGCGCAGTATTCATCTTGTGTCGGATGAAAGCGCAGCGAAGCAACCGTATTCTACTTGCCTATGCCTTGTTTTAAATTGCCTGTAACGAATTGTCGCCGTACCATTAATATGATGCAATTTGTTTTGCAAAATTAGCGCTAAAAGTTTTGTAAAATTTATCTTGATTTGGTTTGATAGGCAAAAATGTCTTTTAAACTAAGTAAAACTCCCAGTTTTTATTTGAAAACAATTTTTAAACGCTTAAGCAATTTTTTTGGAGATGAAACCCTCCCTGAACTTTGTCGAACTACGTAAGACACTCACGTTGATAGAACTTTGTCAGTAATTGACTCAGTAGTTTTGACGTAATTTTCTACTAACTAAAACTGCCAAATATGATCCTTTTTTGGTGTAAAATTTTGGGCTCAATTTTGGCAGAAAAAATTGCACCATAACAATTCAGGTAAACTTTTAAGCATTTTTGTCTTCATAATGTTTCACCTTAACTTAACCTAGTTTAAGAAAAACGCATTTCAATCTTCAAATTTTATGCGTTTCGTGCAGACAATTTAAATCAGCTCTGTAGCTTTTATCATACGAAAGTTTTAATACCGATCATTTCTTGCAATTTTGGTTTAAAAAATCTCTCAAAAGATTTAAGAAAAAATCCCCCTAAATTTTTAGGATTGCTTTCGATTTTATACTCTAAATGAAAAGGAATAGTTGTCGTGTTATGACAAAGACAAAGAGCTAATTTGCTAATCACTACTGGAATGATTAGTTTGCTGCATTATAGCGTTTTGCACTTTAAGAAACCCGTGTGATTAGAAAAAAATTTACGGCAATTTTGATTATTACATTCAAGATTTCCAATATGCTTTAATAAAAATCCATTGCTTGGATCGTCTAAAATGGTCTGAAGAAAAACGACAAACCCAACAAATGTTTTTGTAATTAGACTGGAGTTTTGCTAGTGTTATGGGCATCTTAAAGGATGTTGACTCGTCGAAGACATTCGGACTTTTTCTTGTGAGAACATCCCCTGTTAATAATTTTAAAGTGGGTTCATACTCTGATGGTAGATATGCATCTTTCAAGCTGTCGATAAAAGTTTTTTAAAGATAATTGGTTTTCGGTGGTTAAGTTTCTTGCCCATTAAACCTCAGGAAAAATTGCAGAAACTTTGCATCAGTCAAATTGCTTATTCGATTTAAGTGATATTAATACCGATTTCATATGTTTGAAGGGGTCAATAGTATTTTTCAAATGGGTACTTAAGCTACTTTAAAATCAGTACACGCCATTGCTTAAACTATATTTTTAATAAACTATATTACTCTAGAGTTGAAAACAGATGAAGGGAAAACAGCAGATTTAAAATGTCAAGTTCTTTATACACTAAACACAAAAAACTAATTCTAGAACTTCCGTTTTTAGTTACATTTGGAATGACTGGACCAAGAAAGTGCAAAAATTTTCAGGCATTGCACTTATATTGTAGGTCTCTATTTGGATTTGGTATAAGTATGAGTTTGTGTTGATATGTATGCTAAAAAGGGTTGGCGCGCTTTCAAAATATAATTTTTTCTTAATTGATACCAGTCCTGAGCTACAGAGCCAATTTTACTTAATGAATTTTTGTCATGGAAAAAAGTCAAGAACAAACGCTTATAACAAATCGATTCTTTTTTGCGCATAATATAGCTCAATGAACTGTAAATCCGATTGAAAAATTATGAAAAAACTGAACCCTGGATCAAAGGGTCAAATCAAGTAGTTTTTGTACCAACCACTGTCGGTTATAGTGAATTTATCTTCAGTTGTGCTTTATTTTTTTTTTTACAATTTGTTCCTCGCCTAATATTTTTTCTACGCCCGATATATTTGACATTTTTGTTTTAAAGTCTAATTTCGCGCAAGTGAAGCAATTTAGTAGCATTTGCTCTAAAAAAACCGATTATTTGATTATTCGTTTTAAAGTCTAATTTCGAGCAAGTGAAGCAATTTAGTAGCACTTGCTCTAAAAATACCGATAATTTGATTAAGTTATGGTTAATTCATTTTACCGAAGAAAAACTTGTGTTTGAAGATTCATGTAAAGCTTGCCTGACACTCTAACATAAATTTTTCTTCATAATGATGCCTGAAAAAACTGAGTTTGTTCGACTTTTTTTTGGCTTTTCTGTTCTGATATTCATTTTGGGCTTATTTTGGAGACTTAAGGTCCATAGAATGGTCGGAGAAACTATCGCATTCAAGCACTTTTCATGACCGCTTTTGCGCGGAGTAGACGGAAGTTTGAAACGGTAAGCAACCCATGGCAAAATTGGACTGTTTTGTTTGAGCTTGCAGAAAAGTTACGACATTTGTCGTGAGTGTCTTCAGGCTCAATATTTTAATATTCCTACCATTTGTTTAAAAAATGGTCTGGTCTCACCATGCATTGATTTGACAAGTCCTCTCTACACATGGACCATTTTCCGACATTCTCTCTCGAAACATGGATGCATTTAGGGCAACTCTGCTGTATCCATGGCTCAGTTTGCGACTCACCTATTTTCTTAAGGCCATGGCGGGCCCTACTTTCACCGTTTACTTGGGGTCTTTCCTCCGCGGGGGAGAGGGATGTCATCCATTTCGCCGTAGCCGGTCCCACCTTGAGGGATCGGAAGACACTGGGACCCACGACCTCTGTGTTAAAGGCCGAGCGTTTTACCCACTCAACCATGGCTGCTCACCGACGTGCACGTTGCCTGGCCGAATCTTTGCGCTTTCGTTGATCATGAATGCTCTACTACAAAATTATGTATATTTGTTATATCTGTTTTAAAAAATGAACTCAACTGAAGTTTAACAGCTGTTTTAGTGGATTTTTTAGGTCGTTAACATAAAATACAAAAGCTTTGAGGTCTCAATTAACCATCAAAATCTAATTTGTAGGAAAATCGACCATTGATTTCAACAACCAAATTCAAAGAAAGCTAAACCTAAAGGGTATTACTTTAAAGAAAACGCTTAAAAACAAAGTTACCTTTCATAAATGGATTTGCAATAGGGGATTCGAAACGAATCATTAGGAAGCGAGGGTTATGTTTTGTTTCAAGCCACTTCTCCCAAAATATCCTTTTAATCATGTAAACTTTGAAATTGTTTTGGTGTTTTCATTGACAACTTTTATGATTTCAGGGACCAACTGTATAATTATTCGAGAAATTTCCAGTCCATTGGTCCGCGGTTCAAATTGTCACATAACGCAAAAACTACAGGTATTTTTGTATTTAATTTTATAACAGTTCTTACCATAAACAATGGGATTTGCATTTGAAATGGGTTAACTCGTCACCTTTCTCGCTTATATCCCTGTATAAATTATTCTTTTGATCTGGAATTTAGGTAATTTGACACAAATTTTTAGTGATCTTTTTGAAAAGACACAAGCTTCTCCTGTTATTCAACTGATTTGCATTCATGTGAGGGTTATTTGTTTATTCAGCTTACACTTACATCGTTGCTTTGAAAGAAAAAAAAACATTACGAAATCAATTTTCCCTGTTTTCGGTTTATGTAGCGTTTGCATCGCCGATAGGGTCACTAAAAACACTTCATAACTTTTTCTCGCGGCAACAGAATTTTTCTATACCTTCCATTTCCTGCCTTTTATGCGCTTAAAATTATTTCAACAATTCAAAGAGTTAAAATTTTTATGATTGATTGATCGCATCAATTTAAAGGCGCAATTTTTCTTCTGCGGTTGGTAAAACTTTATAATTAACTAGTGTGAAACATAAAAAAGTTTTAAATCAATTTCTATCAGCTATGCATTCTCTTCGGCGTGCGATGAGGGGCGAGGTGTCGACACAGTTGATGGGTTTAAAGGTAGTCAAAACTTATTTTCTATATTCTTTCAGCAAACTCGGCTCCATCCTCAGCCTATAGATGTTTTCATTGGATAGATTCTGAAGCTTCAACCTGTTTTTGCCTTTCGTTTGTCTTCTGATTCAAAACAAAAACAGCCTCAAGCGTTAGAGACTGTCCAATGATTAAAAAAAACTATAAAATTAGCAGAGGCCAATTTGATTAAATACCTTTGAATTTTTTTTGCATGGAACCCGATTACTTAAAGAAAACAAACAATATCAAGATAAAGAATATTTTAAATTATAATTTTTGTCTCCTTTTTTCATACTCTCACATTGTTGAATTATTTTTCTTTTAATTTTACTGAATGATAAAAGACAAGAGAATTGTTGTTTCCGAATTCAACTGTGTGTTCTTAATAAAAAAAGGTGGCTAGTAACATTCTCAGAACAAAAGTTTTTCAAATTATAAATTTGTTTTCGCTGCCTTGCGCACTTTTTCGGAATGGACTTTCACTCAGTGGCGTGCACAAGATTTTTTTGAAGGGGGATGTTTCAAAAAGTGTTCAAAACATTTTTCGAATTTTTAGTTTGAAAAAAAAAATGGTTTTACGAGCTCTGTTAAAACCCTATTAAGAAAAGCCAAAATACCTTTTTGAGCAATTTTTGGGAAATCGATGTCGTAAAAAAGTACCAAAGGGGGAACCTTTGGGAAACATTTGGCGGCAAGAAATGAGGGAACGGTAGCCGTCCCTCCTTCGGCGCGCAGCTGGTATTCAGCCTTGACAAACTTATGCTTTTTTGAAGGTGATTCAACTATTTTAGATTTGTTGTGTTTTTGTAATCCTGGGTTGCTCAAACTTGGTTAAGCGTGGTGTTAAAATGATACATTTTCGATGTAGAAAAACTACTTGTCATGCAAACCTATATAGTTCCGTTCCATACTTACAGAAAACTATATGAGAATTATATGATAATCATTTTACCCTGGATGACTAAGATTATTTTAATTATAAATATTTTAGTTTAGCTTCATTTTTTTTTTCGTTTTGACCTTAACACAAAAAATAAAATTTTTCTCAAATAAGAGAAACAACTGTTGAAGTGGTGAAAACAGATGAGATTTGAGATTGTTTTAATTTTGAGATTTTATTTGAGATTTTAGTTTTAGTTTTTGATTTTAGTTTTATATAGAATTAGAATTGAAAATCCTACTTTTTTGAATACTATACAGGGGCGGATTTAGTGGGGGGGAGGGGCGGGGGGGACGGACGTTCTCTTTCCTCAGGGATTCGACCCCCTGCCGACCCAAAGTGTCCCCCCTTTGGTACTTTTTAAGAAATCCATTTCTGCCGACCGACCCTAAAACTTTTCTAAAGGCGCCTTCGGCGCCAATGTATACTAACTTTGAGGGGGAGCATGCAACAAAAAAACGCAATTTTTTTCAAAATTTTTCAAAAAGTGCCTAAAAACGGCTTTTTTGACCTGTTTTTTCAAAAATTAGCCTGCGGCGCAGAAAATTTGGCCAAAACAGGGAGGACTATTTAGTGCTTTAGGAGAGCTCGGAAAATCAAATTGGTCGACCTAAAATAAGAAGGTCGTCAAAATTTCCGAAAATTTTTTGAAAATCCGCACCCCCCTCAAACAAATCCTAGATCCGCCCCCTGATACTATATAAGGCTTTATAAAATTTAAATGGTTGAAGTATTGGCCCGTTTTTTTGACCGATCAACGTTTATCTGGTCATATGAAAGCAACTAGAACAAACTTGGTCCAACAAAAAAATTTGCGACCAAAACCTTACAGCAAATGAAAATTTTTCCCACATTTTTGGTGGTGTCACTTTCTAAAAAAAGTCTTCCGTAACCTTGTTAAAAATGCGTACCCTTTAGTTTTCGTTATAAAAAATAAACAATCAGCATTTTTCTAAAGACTCAATGAATGGAATTGTGTTAGAAATCATTTTCTTTCAAGGAACTGTATGTAGAAAAGCTTTTGTTATATGGAAGTTAATCCAGAACTAAATTTGACGATCGTTTCAATGCAATTTCTAAAACTTTTTACCGCACATTGAGACGTCAATTATAAGAACAATTTCATGTTTTTTTAAGTTGCCGTGTAGCAAAAAAACTGATGTGTTCGCTCAACTCTTGAGTCATGAATGACATAATATATCCATAATTTAATTTTCAATTAAAGTTTCAGGTTATTGAATATGAGTACTCTAAATAAAAAAGATTGCCTCAAGTAAATTTGAAACACTTTTAAGTTGTTGCTGCTCTCAGAGTATTCAAAAAAATGCGTTTTTTAATGCACGACGGCAATATTGCGAACAATTTTAATCTGCCTAATAAAAAATTAACACTCAAAATTTGGCTTTCATATTGCACTCAAGGAAATTATTTTGGAAAACAATTTTGTCGTTAATTTTACAAGATTGTATGGAAAAATTGAATGCACTTAACTGAAAAATGGACAAAAAACTTTTCAATCTAAACGATTATTTTTATTATCAAAGTCACTCGTTAAAACTTTTTCCGTGAAACTGTTGTACCGTATGACCAAATAGACCGCCGTAGATTGTTTTTAATTTTTCGCAAAAAAACTTAACTAAAGAATAAAATTATGATGGCTCGAAAACAGTGCCTGTGCAAGATCTAGGTCGAAATTACTCAAAAAAAGTTCTCTCTTTTCACCCACACAATATTGTTTGAAGCCATAATGCAATCATAAAGAAGTGATCATTACGAGATCAAACTGAGCTCTGGGTAGGCGCACAATTTAGATCATTTGCAAATAATCAGTATTTGAGATGATTTGAGATTGAACTCAAGTGCTTTAATTGGATGAGAGATTAATTGGGGGAAAATTTTTGTTGCGGATGGGTTGAAATCGATTTATTAAATTTCTTCAGTTTTTTCAGTTGGCAGGAATTGAGAACGAAGGTGGCGGTAAGTTTGCAGGAATTGCGATCAAAGTTAATGTGAGTTGGGGCAGAAATGAAATGGAAGTTGAGGCTAAGCTGGCACGAGTTGAGATCAAATGTTGGGATGTAGCGCATTTCTTAGCAGTAATTGAGATTGAACTCGCTGGTGACCACGTGGTAAAAAAAAATAATTTAAAACGGTACAATATATGTAACTGGAATCCGCAAACAAAATGCGGTTTCCACTTAGTGTTTGCAAATTCCGCTTGCGATTTGCAGATTCGGCTGACAGTTGCGGATTCAGCAACAGCTCAACTTAACTATACACATTTTTTGTTATTTGATTGCGAGTTCCACAAAATGTTCTGGAATCCGCAAAATTTGCTGCGGATTTCATAAATTCGCCTGTTTTTAAAGCGACTGCGAATGGTACGGTGCTGTAGCTACTTTTTTGGAATCCAAAACAGCACAAAAATAAAGAAAAAAGTAGAACTGTTGCGGATTCCGCAGCAAACCTGATTTTGGCCTGTTGCGAAATCCGCTTACTTTTTTTCAAAATGCACAGATTGGTCTCGTAAAAGTTATATTCAATGTTGAAAAGTAACTTGCAGACTTTTATGATTAATATGAGTCATTAGACTTAGAGTTACAAGATGCGCGTTTTGGCCAAGTCATCCATTTTGTATTTGGATATCTGGATTATCTCAGGAAACATGTTATCTTTGCATCAATACACAACAATTTGAGCAGAGAGTGCGCAAAAAACGCATTTTTCTGTCAAAACTTTCAAAAAAAACCTCAAATTTGCATTTTGACGAAACTTCTTTTTCTGGTTTTTAGTAAGACTAAAGGATATCAATTTTGATTGACCCGGAAAAAACTTAACAACTCCTTCTCCTTTTAAAAATTTGAAGAAAGTTTGCAAGTGCACTAGAACATCTCTCAAGCTTATGTACAGGCATTAGCGGATTTAGGGGGGGGGGGGGGGGGCGGAACGCCTCCCCCCTCAAGGATTCGATCCCCTGCCGACCCAAAGGGTCCCCCTTTGCACTATTTTGGATGGCTGGCTGTAAAATTTTTCTAAATGCGCCTCTGGCGGCAATATATACCAATTTTAAGGGGGGACCCCCTTCCGAAAAAATGCGATTTCTTGGTTGGCCTGTTTTTTGAAAAATTGCTTGCGGCACGGTTAATTTGGTCAATATAGGTGACTTATAGTGATTTGGGAGAGCTCAGAAAATCAATTTGGTCGACCTAAAAAAAGGTCGAGAAAAATTTCAATTTATTTTTCAAAATCCACCCCCCTCGAGAAACCTGTGTACAGGGGCGGACTTAGATGAGGGGGCCTTTTCTCAGGGATCCGACCGCCTGACCACCCAAATGGTCCCCCTTCAAAACATTTTATGTCATCTTTTTTCTGCTGACCTACCTTAAATTTTTCGTAAGGGGTGGAAAAAAACATGATTGGTCAAAGCATTTAATAAAAGTGCCTGAAAATGTCTTTTCCGCTTTTTTTTTTGAAAGTTTTGCTTGCTTCAATTTTAGTCAAAATAGAGACTATCGTAATTTGAGCGGCCTCGAAAAACCTATTTGGTCGACTTGAATAAACGTCCGAGTAAAAATATCGGGCAGCTTATCGCTTAAACACCCGCATACCCCTATGAATCTTGTAATAACACCCCTTCCTTGTCCCAAAATAGACTTAACTATTTAATTGTTACGCATAACTGGATTTTGATCCCAGTAAAACCTAATCTTTTCTCCTAAATTGAATTGAAAATAGGATCCTGCACCTGTTAGCAAATTAAAGCTCGAACTTGAGGCCTGGCGTACTCAAATGGAGAAGGCAGGGCCAAATGAAAAACACACCAATGAAGAGATTAGAAGCTTTCCTTTTTTATTGTTCTAATGACTGTTTTTGATACTTTCCAAACGGACTCAATTTGAGAAGATTCTAATTGATCTTATTATCTTTTTTACGTCATTCGACTTTTCAACGTCAAGTATGACTTTTTTTCTTACAGCAGTCGCACACAGCACACAGCTTTTTTGAGGATGAAATTTACTTATTTTTCCAACCATTGAAAATGGGGATGAACTTTGAACTCGGGTGTGTTTTACTTTTTTTCTTTTTTCCCATGCAAGGTCAGGTACCACAAAAATCATCGGAATGGAAATTCAAGTCATTTTTAGTCGAACTACATTATATAAATGTCAAAAAAAATTCCCGGTGTCGGAAAAAACCGAGTTTTTTGATTTTTCGTCCCCTCTCGAGCGAATAAAGCGAGCAAGCAGGCTTGTAATGGGCTCATAATTTAACTTGTAAAATTAACTAATAATTAGTTTTACTCAAATCGAATTAGTTATCGAATAATCTCCCAGCGTCTTCCGGGGAATAGAAATTTTCCGGGGAGTAAAAAAAGCGAGAAAAAAATTTCAGCAAAAAATTGAAAAAATTTTTGAAAACTTTTTGATTTTTTGAAAATATTTAGTTTATGTGAAAACTGCTGTCAAACTTTTACAACATTTTTTATTGAAGTTATAGGTTTTCATTTAGATTTATTGATCAGATCACATAAAAAACAAATAACGCAATTTGAAACAAAAGAGATATTTTTTTTGTAGTTTTTTAACTAATTTGTTCGGAACATTTCGTTCTACTTGCACAGCAACCGGCTATCGTTGTTTAGTTATCTACAAAGAATCATCTCATACACCTTTCATTAACATCATAAAAAATTGATTTACTTTCGAAACAAAGTGCATGTTGTTTCGTACGATTTTTTTGTTGCGCACATTCTTGAAAGAGTGGAAGATCTATTGCTATGGTCTTACTTCAGCTGACTCGAAATATCTCGAAAAACGGGGTTATGAGCTATCACATAAGAGTTACTTAATTTGTGACAGATATTTTTGAAAAATTCATAAAATTACTCGATTAAAAACGATAATTTTTTTTCTACATTTTATGGCATTTTATTGGGCCCCGCCGTGTTCAGTCTCCACTATATATCCTGCCACGGTTCCTAACAAACTGCTCATGTAATATTTTGATACGGAAAGTGTAGCGCGCATTTTTTTCGCGGCGAATTATCCTGCACTAAAATAGTACTAAATTGAAGTAGGGCAAACTAATTGGTCTTATTATTTCCATACAAAACTCAAACTTTGACATTCAAACATTGTATTATCAATTCAAAAACCAAATTTGTTAATATTTTAGTAAACAAGAACTAGTCGAGACCAGTTAACGGGCAGTCGGAATACTCAGGTCTTTGCCCTCATACGAGCACCCTTCTAATTTAATTGGAATATAATAATTGATTTGATTCGCTTTCACACTAAATTGGATTAGGGGATTCGACCTCCTGCCGACTCAAACATTCCCCACTTTGTTACTAATTTAAAACATCCATTTTCGCTAGACCAGCCCTAAATTTTTTTGCCATTGTATAATAAATTTGAGGGGGAAACGCGCGTCAAAAAAGAAGATGTTAGTCAAAATTAGTATATACTGGCACCAAAGGCGCTTATAGAAAAATTTTAGGGCCCTTTAGCCAAAATGGATATCTCAAAATAGTACAAAAAAGGACCCCTTTTGGTCTGCCGGGGGTTGAATCCCTAAGGAAGGTATACGCCCCCCCCCCCCCGTAATTCCGCTACTGGTAGCATTACAATTCATTGAAAATGAAATGTGTATAATATGCATTACAGTTCTCAAATTTAATACTTACACTATGCTCAAAACTACCACCTATTGTAACATTTCGACAAAAAGGGATCTAAGTCGTTCCAATTTCCAACAGGAAACTTGACTTAATGCATTAAATCACTCACTCCCTATTTGATAAAGAAGATTTTTAAAAATCATATATATGCTTATCATTTTGGAGCTCTAGATTATTCCTACTTCCCAAAAAGAAACAGTTCAAAAACTTTGAAGTTATAATTATAAAAAATATATAATAGCCAAAATACCGTGATTAGGATTGCTACTTGCAGCAAGTCGGATGGGTTCAAAAACTATTTGCTGCTTACATATGATCAAACTTTTAATGACAGTTGCTCATTTTTTTCTACCAAAACGTTATGCACCAAATATCTAATCATTTTATTGAGTGCTTTCAAGTAAAAATCAACAATCTAGAAGTAGCAAAAACGCATTAAAATAAGCAGCAATCCACATTTTTGCTTTAACATAAACACTTCAAAGGTTAAATTGTCTCTTTTCATTTCAACTTTAAAATTAAACTTAAGTACCCTTAAAATTTAAATTTTGCTCCTCTTAAACACTTTTTGTAACAAATTATTTTTTCATAATGATTGAATTTTTGGGAGCAAGTACGTATACTATCCCATTCTATCAAACTTTGAAGAGCGCAAGACTCGGTGTCAAGGTGGTAAGGTACAATTTTGAGGAGAACTTCTAATTTGCAGGCAATCATTTTTCTAGTCAAAAATTTTACCGTTTTTCTGATCATTAACATTTCATGATTTATGATTTTATACACATTTTACAAATAAAAGATCAATTTTGATGACCAAAAACACCAAACTGAAGAACCGATTTTGTTGATAGAAAAACTGCCAGAAAACCAACACAATTTCGCTTTCTGGTTTATTTTAGAAAAATCATGTTTTCGTTTTTTTGTTGAACATGAGTTTATTAACTTCTTTATCATTCTGTTTCAGAAAACACCACTGTACACCACCCATTGATTCCACAAACTTCAGTCGTATAACTACCTAAGCTTTTAATTGAAGCTACACCCAGTAACGAACATCAATGCCCGAGGAAGTTCCGGCCAGCCCCCCGACCCCTTGGGCCATAATGACTTCAAAACCATCCGGGAGTGGTGGTAACAATAGGACAACAATGGACTTTTTCGCCCTGATGGAGTCTCAGCCCCACCCCTACGCCGAGCACCCGATAATGCGAATTGTGTCCGAGTACATGTTTCTAGTCGTGGGAGCGATTGGAATTGTGGCTAATATTGTGGTCATTGTAACTGTACTCCTCACAAAGTAAGACTCAAATAATCGCAGTTTATATTATTTTTCTCCGTAGAATGATTTTTCTCTCATAATTACTCGACGTCAAGCTTGTCTTTTTAAATACATTTTCTCGACCATCAGCGATAAAATTTTGTAATTATTTTGCGGTCAATTATAAAAGTTCAGAGCAAAAAAGAATTAAAGTTCAAATTCAATTTTTTTTTCAAGTCGATACTGTTTTCAAATTACCAAAAATTATTTAACCCAACTTATTGATGACTCAAAAACTTTGGTTTGGGTTGTAGATGTGAGGTGTCTCGTCGTTTTTATTGTCCTTAAGCCAACTTACTTTCAAAATGAAATAACTTGAGTTTGTAGTACATTGGGTAAAAACATTAAAATTTTTAAAAATCGGATATATCCTCTTACCCCCACAGTTGGTCATTGAAACGACCCATTATAATGTATTCACCGATGATGTAACACTGGGTGGTGTCTTCGTTTTTAGACGTCTGAAGACGAACACGTACATCCTCATCCTCAACGCTTGTCTGGCAGACCTGCTCGTGCTCTCCTTCAAAACCATCCCCACCTTCTTCGAGAAGAGGTCCGACCAGTGGACGATGGGGGCAGTGCTGTGCAAGCTGCACGCACTCAGTTGGACCCTCAGTGATTGTGCCAGCATACTCTTCATGGTGGCCATCTCGGCCGAAAGGTATATTAGCAGAAACTAAAATCAGCTGATGAAAATAGAGTTGAGTTTTTAAATTATTCGCAAAAAAGTGATCTGATTGTTGCTTGTTTGTTTTGCAGATTCATAGTGATCACAAAACCGCTGCATGCTTCGTCCATTTTGACTCTTCGAAACAGAGTCTCAACTGTAGTCCTCATCTGGACAGTGTCGCTTCTCTTCTCCTGCCAGGAGCTGATCCATTTCCAGCTGCAAGACATCTTCGGAAGCCTTGTGTGCACGAAACTGCATGTGGACTATCTGAGATGGTTCCTTCTTCTGGAGTTCCTGCTGTTCTATCTGGCTCCATTGGCCACCATGGTCTACTTGTATGGGGCTGTGATTCGGTCCATATACCAAAGCATCAGCATCCGAAGAGGTAAGACTGCCCGCGCAGTGCTCTCACCTCAAAAGTAAGGCAACAAAACGCTTTCAAAATGCTGATATGAGGGGAGGCGAGGTTAGCAGCTGCTTTCCTCAGTATTATAGCGCTAATTTGCGACAGTCATAAAATACATGTTAAGCTGCCTTCGGCTCGAAAAAGGCACGGGCAATTTTTGGTCGAACTTTTCAAAAAAACTTGTCCAAAAGGGGCATTTTCGATGTTCCATGTAAGAAAAGTTTATTTGACCTAAAGAAAAAGACCGATATTTTCTTAAGTCGCGGACCCCTACCCGGGCCCATTTGCAAAAAAACTTAGGTCTACCATTGGCCAAAACTACAGACCATAACCCTAGTTGATAAAAACCGTAGTTCAAAAGTGGTTCATCATTAACTAGACAAAACGTAAAGTATACAAGTCAGAAACGAATCAGAATCGAGATAAGAAAACAATTTCGTACGTTTGTTTTCTTATCTCGATTCTGTTTTGTTTATGACGTGTCTACTTTATGACCTGCCTTTTTTTTAACGGCACTCGTTGGTTTTTGAAGTGTGTAAGAGGATAAAGTGTCCTTGGTATCTCGAAAGCTAACTTGACTCATGCTACTTCAGCGATGGTGGCCGCTCCTTCCGGGTGTGGCGTTGGCAGTGAGGCGAATGAGACGAACAAGAGCAGACTGAAGATAGTGTTCATGATGATAGTGGTCGGAGCACTCTTCTTCATCACCTCATCCACAGCTAAATGGTAAACATACACAAAAAGGAAGAAGAATTAAACAAGAAAACGAATGAAACAACTAGAATAAAGAAAAATGAATGGCTGGTTGCTTTGCATGTAGCACAGAAAGTTCCGAGCTCAGTACATTTGCAAAAAATATATATCGAGTTTGTTTTGTTAATGAATGTATTGTCGGCATGGCATATATTCGACTTTTTTGCCGTCCAAATTATGACTGAATAGGTTTGACATGTACACCCCTCTGCTTCGTACGATGTGTCTTTGTGATACCCGATTTTCGTGGAAAAACACTCAATCATTTTGTCTTTGTTCGCTACGAATTTGAAACAATAAATGACGGAAGGACGTTTTATTCTATCTTTGATGAATAACGACCATCAAATTTTTACAATTACCAAAACTCCGGGTTCTTACCATATAAAGTAAGAAAAATGCCAAACAAACTGCTCAAAGAACACTGCACTTTTTGATACCTATAATTATTAAAAATTCAGCTCATTTAACTTAACCTTATACTACAGTTTTGCTAACACGCACGAGAAATATAATGACTATAATTTTGAAAATGGAAATTCTCCGCGACAGTCTGATGATGCCTTTTTTTATTATCCGAAAAAGAAACATCTTTGAATTCATTTTTTTGATTAACTACTGTATATGCTTATAAATTCGTGGCTTGAAAATTGATAAATTGTCATTTTTCAGTTGAGAAAAAACTTCACCATTAGTTTTTGTAAAATCAAATAAATTATTATCTACTTTTCTTCAACTTTTTTCTACCTGAAGTGATTTGAGGCAAGTTTAATTCAACTGTTTTACTTTGTGTCGTTGGTTGATTCAGAATATATTCAGTTTGTGTTAAATTTTTTGATAACTTTTTTGTTTTATGTTGCAGGTCCATCCTGTTTTGTACCCACGTACTCGGCTACACTCCCCTGAACGAATTCGGAGACCACTTCTACGCTTACTTCTTCTTCGAAAACATCTTCATCATCCGCAGCCTGGACAGCTTCGCAAACCCATTCATATACTACGCACTCTCCGCCAACCTACGCGAGGCATTCTACGACCACGCCACCAAGAACTGTCGGCCAAAACCGACCACTGCAAATCCGAGCAATGCACGAGGCATGTCGACCATGACGTCACGACAGTTCGGAACCACAACCTCGCTTGGAGCATCCAATTACGAGATGCATAGCACTGCCCAAAATGGAAAGATTTCGGCATCTAATCTTTCGGAGGGACCAAAGAGGAAAGAACTGAAACTCGGAGTAGGGGTGATCACCCAAAATGAAGAAAATTTCTCGCGTGTTTAGTTTTAATGAAAACTTTTTCTAAAGTTTTTTTCGACAAAATTATGTCCTTTCATCATGAAAAACGGGGTTTTTTTAAACAAAGTTTTCAAAGGCTATTGACGCAATTGGTTTAAAATCAGAGGAGTGGTTAATTTTACTACAAGTTGTCCATGTAATGTGTTATAGATTTTTGGTAAGATATTCTTAGCTATATATATATTTCACTAGGGCTGTGTTTTTTTTTTTTTGAAACAGCATTTTATTCCATCAATCAATCTTTCTTGAACTTTCATCATAAGAAATATTCTTTAATTATGCAAATTTGATTGCATTTTTTCTAGTTTCAGTGTTTAGATATAAAACTCTTATATGCCATTACGTTTGGTTGAATAATACCTTCTATGTGCATTGATGAACTGGGCAGTACTCATTAAAGTGTAATGAATGAAATGATTTCAAAACTCGTGCAATTTATGTCATTTTTTAGAAAAAAATCGAATTGCTTTGAGTACGATTTTAGCAAATGTCATTTTGCCATCTGACGGTTGCTTACAGTGATAAGTTGAAAAGGCTAACAAAATCTCAGATTGAAAAAATGGGATTTCTAATTGAGTCAAAGTAAAGTAATAGATGACCCCATTACATTAGCAAATCGGTTTTCCCCTCAAAAAGAGTCAATTACTATAACGAACAGTAACGGATTTAGGGGGGGGGGGTCGAACTAAAAAACAGTCGACAAAAGTTTCAAAAAATCAGCCCCCCCCCCCCCGAAAAAATCAAAAAAAAAATCTTAATCCGCCCCTGATTATTGAATCAACCTTTTTGACAAAACTCGTGCAACTATATAAAGAAAATTTTAGTTTCATTAATTAGCAAGGAAATTTGTTTTAAATGGTCTGAATAGTTGTTACTTAGAAAGTTTCAAAAATATTTAAAAATATTGCACTCCAAAATAGTTTGCAGTCGTTGTTAAAACAGTAGCAGAATTTATTGTTTGATGTAATTGCTTTTATTTGCCTACAACAGCTAACAATAATACGCACAGAAAAGGTTAACAAGTTCTTTTTTTGACCTGTTGCCAGGGTGTTTGATTTATGGCGGGGGTTGAGGGGGTTACGCCTTCTTGTCTAAGGTATTCCACCCTGAAAGTCCTTCTTTCGTACGTTTTTATCAGTTTCATCTAACTGTCCCTAAAATTTGGAAAAGCACCTCGTACTCAAACGGAGATCTAAATCATAAATCACCCTTGAAATGATTTCAACAAGGTAGCATACTTGCCCCCCAGCAAGTATTTTACGTAGTACCTTGAGCGGAAAAAAGAGCAACTTAAGCCATTGAACAATCATAATTGAGGTTTTTGCGATCAGCTATGGACTAAGAACGGCTATTAGAACCCATCCAACCTTGACCCATCCAACCATGAGAATGATTTTTGAGGCAGTTTTAATAGATTATTTCCAACATTGAAAAATCCATTATAATAGATTATGAATTGTTCTTTTTTCAATATAATCGGTAATTTCATGTTGACAAAATCCATGAAAGTCAGTATTTTTTGTAGATGTGAATTGTTTTTCTTCACTTTTTTCAGCGTTTTGCAAAACTAGAACCCGAGCGAACACGTTCATCGCCATCCCCGTGTACACCCTCTAACTCAACCATATCATACTCGATCCCCCACCTTCGCACTGCAACCTTTAACTTTAATGCCGTTAACAACCCAGAGCTTTAACAACTTTACCCTATCCCCAAAGCAAAAATAAGAATCATACGCGAGGAGACACATAATTGAAATTAAAAATATCAGTTTTCGAATACCCCATCCGTCCAAAAGGTGAATTAACATGACCTCTCACCTTCCACGGATTTTAAAATCCCCGAATAGCATGCCCCCTAAGTCGAATAACAAAACATTCAAAATTTGGGGCGAGCACAAGTAAAAAACAAAACAAATTATTAACAAAAAAGCTGTCTAAAAACAAAAAAGAATTGATTTTCTTAAATTTTGGCCTTGGTTTTTTGGAGACCCGTACCTTGCCACCACTGCCAAACGGTGTTCAAAGTTCACTTGTCTATCTCTGAATATCTAAATTAATCCAATAGTCATTAAAACAACAACCGGATTAGCAACAGGGAATTTTAGGAAAAAGAAACACACAATTATTGCGGAATTTTTAATTTTGGGGGTCAGTCTGAATTCAATCTAATTACGAAAAAAAACAGACACTGATGCACTTTTTTGAAGTACTTTTGGATTTATAAACCTAAATTTTGAGACTAAAATGGCTTTTTTATGATACCACACTTAACCCTCCCACAAGGTTTCTTTGATGTAAATTGGCTCGAAATTTAACGGACCCTAGGCATAGTTTTTTCAATCACCTTCAGCGACGAGGTGGGAAAAAATGGAATAAAACAAAATCTAAATAACAATATTATTTATGGTTTCTGCTATTCACAGAAGTTTTTTTACGGTCTATCCAGTCTATCTAAGCATAGTCCGTTCCTCTAATTTCCGCATATTCCAGACTGAGTTACTTTGTTGAGCGAAGCTCTTTTCTTGCGACTAGAACTTTAACGTGGTACTCTACCGCAGTTGTAATCGGTCAGGTTATGGTAGCCCTGAAGCTAGAGCTCAAGTGAAAGCTTGTCCTCAGATATTATAATTGCCATGGCAGGGGATCTAATACTCACTAGGACGATCTTCAAAGAAAGTTTGGCTCTTTTTCTTTCCCCCCACCTCACACGAACATGAATTAAGTGGTGTAACGAGTGGTTTTACAAGGTTGATTATGAAAATCAAATATGTTTGTCATAACCTAGTTAGTCCGTGTGTCAACTTTCATGACAATCGGACAATTTGAACAAAATTATTACTTGTAAAATTTCGGAGGTGGGGGGGGGGGGAGAGCCGAAAATTTACCACTATGATAAGTACCTCTGATATAATTATGATAGAAACTAGGATATTAACTAGGATTGAAATTTTGTTAGAACTATGATAGAAATTTTACATAGTTCTATTATAGTTCTATCCCCAGATCTGAAACCAGTTAAAATTAATTAGTCTTCAAAAATCTTCCGTTGCTTGAAAAGGTTTTGTACTACAATTATGCATCAATTTTTGTAAACACCTTGACAAAATTTAACACCAACGTTTTTTTTACCTGCTAAAAACCATGAGCTATCTCACGCATAACGGCTCCGCCTTTTTTCGGCAGTTTTGTTTTTTACTTTATAACTTTCCCAGACTTGTAACAAGAAAAATAAGATTAGTGATACGTATACCAAATGAAGTTTATGTAATTTTAGTTGTCTTTTAAATAACCTGATGATTATTTTTCAGTGAAAAGTAATTGATTTGAGAACAAACTGAAGTGTAATTGTATCAAAAATAACGTCAAAAATTGAACTAGAACCAAATTGGACTCGAATTCATTATTGTCACCAAGTTGCTCTGGAAGTTTAAAAAAATGCAGATCAATTGTTCATAAAACTTAGACAATTTTTTTTGAGTTCCTCTTGGAATGTAAATCACGTTTGAAAGTTATTTAATGTGATGCACCACAAGAGCTCTTCTGAGCTTTCTTTGAGGTAGTCAAAAGACGTTGAAAATTACATCCGACGCCACATTTACTTCTTACCTCGTTAAGTGGCCGGAACAATTATCCTTCCGCCCATATAATTACCAAGTTTTGAACACTCTTCGCATTCACACACATTACCCTTCAAATCAATGGGTCACGTACAAAATCCATTTGTGTCAGTGGATATAGGGAAGAATGAAACGGTAAAGGAGCACAGTTTTTCATATTGAAATTTTCAAAAGTACAATTTTTCCTTAAAAAAGCGGTTGTTTGTAATTGTTTCAGGTAATCATTTTGTTAGAAGTTGAGCTCTTCTATTGCTCGACCACGCGATGTACAAAATGTGAAAACAATTTTATGGGTTAACTTATTTTATAGGAGTAAAGAGCAGGAAGTTGAATTTCAAATATTTCGATTCATCAAACCGGGTTATTTGAACACATTCGTTCTTTCTGTCTTTTAACGAAATTAGGCAGCCATTTGCTAATAGTTGCATGAAAATCGCAAAACATGCAGTCTAGAGGAGGCTTGGATAATTGTCTTTAAATTTTTAAATTTTCTTTTCCAGTTTCCCACCCCCTTTGTTAAATGGCAAAACAAAGATGTTCAAAAATTGTTCACGCGGCAGTTTGCATGTTAGAAATGTTCTAGAAATGTGTTCACCTGTTCACGCTGACACGTTTTACTGCAGTTTCTAACATGAAAAGTCATTTTAAATAGACTTTCAGATAATGAATTTTAGAAAAAAAAAGGGGGGGGGGGACTGGAAAAGAGCCCAAAAATGTCTAAGAATCGTTAAAAGTGCAATTTACAAGTACGAAATGCTAAAATCTGTTCACTTGTTCACCCTGACATATTTTATTTTGGTTGATGCCATCAAAAGTCATATCGAATAGGCTTTCGTCGATAGCGTGACAAAGGGAAGCTGGGATTACTACCAAAACGTCATTTCCTTAAAATTTTAAAGCCAAAGTTGCCCTAAAACCTCATTTATAGCTTGTTATTTCAAAATTTTGACTACAGCGCCCAAAGTCTTAACAGATATGGTCACTCAAAGGCTCAAGGGTTCTAAAAAAATTAATTAGAATTCATTCTAAAGTACGCCCGTCCCCTTCTTAAAAAATTTCCAGTGCACTTAACAGGTTTTGGAAAATCTATTTTTCGAAAACTGGAAAAGAACCGTTTTTAAGTCGCCTTGACTTGTGATTCCCCAATTTTAGGTTTCCAAGTTTTTTTTATTCCCAAATTTTCAATCCCGAATCAGTTTTTGTTAAATTGGAGCAAAGAAAAATAATTGAGTCACGTGCAAAAAGTACGAGCAAATGGGAAATTTCACAGGATGTCCATTCGCGGTGAGTCATCTGTACAGCAAATGCTTGTTCACGCAATTGTTTATAGCACTACTTAATAGTCATACCATCGAATCTATGTAGGTTGTTAAGATTTAAGATAGGCTCTTTACTATCGCAAACCCCAGCAACTTATAACCCCCCCGCCTAATACAAAAAAACTTCAGTACTTCACGTGTTTTCACAATGCTGAAGTACTTCATATTTCGAGTAAAAACACATCAAAAACACGTGAGTATTTGAGCTCCAGTAAACACACGAGAGCAAGATTATCCAATCACGAGATAGTTGCTCTCTTGTTTTTCATGTGTTTATAACCTGTTTTAAAAATCATGTTCCTTGTGTAGAAAGTTACATAAGAAGAACAAATTAACAAGATGCAAAATCACATAAGCTACCGACCAGAAAAACTATGAAATACTGAAAAATTCATGCAATTTTAATATGAAAAATTGCGTGGTTTTACTGCTTGACACTTATTCTCGTAAAAAAAGACCACGAGAGCTACTTGAATTTTTAGGTAAAACACTTGAATTTTCAAGTGTTTTCATTCAAGTGTAACAGCGAGAGCCATTGCATTGCTCACGTGTTGTTACTTGTTTTACTTGATTTTTTGAGTGAAATTACTTGAAAAATCAAGTACTTTTCCTCATGAAATATCGCGTGTTTTGTTTGACACACAGTCTC